TATATTCTCATTTTTTACATGAGGGACGCCAGTTTACAGGCATCATCAATATGATAAATTACATATACGATTAGTAAGCATATTTAATAATAGTAATTTAATAAAATACATCTCTTCCTACCTGTTTAGGACACACCAATTGTACAGGCATGGATAAGTATTATTTAAAATACATAAATTTGTTTCATGGTTAAATTATAAGGTTGCAGTTATTGTGTCTATGGGAACAATATGATAACTTGTCATTCAATGAAGTACATAAAGAAATATAGAAATATTGTCTTCGCATTAACAAAAAAAGCAAGTATGTTTTGAATGGATTACAAATACTTGGGAAAAAAAGAAAGCTTGAAGTAATTCCTCCATATAACTTTGGTGTGTACGGCATCGAGTCTTATTCTTGATTTATATTCAAATTTGATAATAATTTAAAATAAGTAATACATTTGTATACTTTTGTCAGCATTTTCATCGTAACATCACAAGTGAATAGTACTCAATGTAGACTAATAATAATGACAGTTTATATTTTCTTATAAACGGGTGTTTTCAAGAAATGCAAGCTATTTTTGCAGGTACAATCAGTTATGTTAAGTTACAATCGTGAAGTATTACAAATCAATACTTTTTTATTGGTATAAAGGTATATATCACAACTGTAATCCAGGTTGCGTCGTGGGGAAATGTAATGCGTAATTCACGAGGGAATTGTAAGATATGGGACCAATAATGTTTGTAGATCATTTGTCATTGTAAATGGTCAAATATCCACATTCTTCATTCTCATTCAAAAAGTCAAATGGAAGCTGAAATGGTGAGAGGCAAAAGAAGACAAACAACAACAACGCAAATGAAAGCAAGTGGAGTACTTAGGGAGTGATTATTATGTATATATACATTTATATTCTGTCAGTAATTATAGTTATTTTGGTGCGCTAACTAACTATTCCGGTGATGCTTACTTTTTTATTGTGTGAACTAATATTATTGTCCTGTGTAAAAATGCATGTCATGTACTTCCAATAATATAAAAATTTATAATTGTAGTTTGTTGTAACTACACGTTTAATGAACTTAAAATATCTACGTGGGCTGAAAAAGAGAGTGTGAGATTCAGACGCAGAAGTGCATTGTCATCTTTAAGCAGTCTGATGACTGAGGAGATGAACACTCCGAGTGTGTTAGCATTGCGCACATCAGCTGGTAGTCTATTCCAAATGACTGAAAACTTATTTAAGAAGTTGTACCACATGTAAGTCTGACAATGCTCTACAGCAGCTAGGTTGTGGTGATTTCTAAGATTGTAAGTGATGACAGCGGTAGGTTTAATTATTGGCTCGGAGGAGTGCACGAGCAGATTAGTTAGCTTGTAGTAAAAATTTACGTTCAGCTTAAGACGTCTTTTCCAGAGTGGTTCTAAACTTAGTCTTTCGGAACGTTCATAGTATTCGAGACCACTTTCTAAACCAATAGTTCCTAAGGTGAACTACCGTTGCACTCCTTCTAATTATGGCTTGTCATTTTGCCTGAGTCCGCTAAAAATAAACGGGCAGTATTCTAAAATAGGTTGGACACATACTTTATATAATAAAACCCTAGTTTCACAACAAAAGAAATTGCGAGTTATGCATCCTAGGAGCCTTCGTGTTTTACGTCTGGCATAATCAGTTTGTTCAGAGAACGTTAAGGTACTAGAGTATCTGATCCCGAGATCTATGAATGAGTTGAGCTTGGCTAGTTTACGCCCATTTATTTCAAGATTCAGGTCAAGGTTACTGTTTCCGATACAAATCCAGCCGCATTTGTCAATGTTGAACTTTAGACAGGATTCAGTACACCATGTTGCGAGACCACTCAGTTCAAGATGTATTTTATTTACCATATCGCTTAGTTCATGAGCGTAGCAGGAGTAAACGACTTTGAGGTCGTCAGCATATAGGAATGATATACCTGAGGTGAAGCAGTTGCAAATGCTGTTAATTTTTACTGTAAATAAAAGTGAACCTAGGACACTACCTTGCAGAACCCCACTTGTAATCTGCTTAGGATGAGACAATACAGATCCAACCTGTTGGATATTCATCTAAATCTATAACCTCTTAAAGATGAATCTCATAGAATCCAGCATGAAATAGTACATCACCCTCTCCCACGAATCGTGTGCTTTATTATGTGATGGCGTAACTATGTAAATGTATAATTTCTCACGCATATTGTGACTTAGTATGTGACCATTTCGTCTTCTTTTGTCTCACCTTGTTCTATGTTTGATCATCAACCAATCAGGATGGATATTTCTAACCAATAAGTACACTACACTCTCAAGAAGCACACACGTAATCACACTAACTCTATCAGTTCACGTATCCCTCAGTTAGAAAGGAATATTTCACAAAGATCTGCTTTATATGACATATCTATTGATGAACGTCAGATGTTTAATGAATATGTCAACGTGGTCACCAACATACAAACGCTGTCTATTAATTCTAAGCTATCTAATAGCTATGGACATCGGCGATGATTCTGGCGTACAACCTTTCATTTTACTTCCCTGAGCATTTAGAACATCTGAGAGTTTCTGTTTCCGGCGTGACATAGTTTTCGTGTATATATAAACGCACCTTGCCCTAATTGATGTACTTCTATTAACTCTAAATTCCTTAAAATTATGTGTTTCAGTGTAAATCAGCACACTGTATGTGTGTGGGATGTAAACGTGTTTGTGTTCTTTGCACAACACCTTCCATTAGTATAGTGACTGTCGTGAATAGACTAACCCTTGTGAGGTTTGTGGGTTTTTATTTTTATTTTATTTCAAACGACAAGAGAATGAAGAAAATTCTATTCACATTTTTAATTGACTGCTGGAGTATCTCATCCTCATCTTTGCCTGGCGGTTATCTGAAATGTAGCCTAGAGTCAATGATATCGAAGTGAGATTCTTACTACTAAACCCACGTGTTCCGAGTGTAATATACGGATTCAATAGCACATCTCTCTTTTCTCCACAGTCGTTTTTAGCTGATCAAGGATTTCGTTTTCTCCTCACACCGTATCCTTCATGTTTTAACATCTAGCTTCAAATCAAGTGATAAAGGGCGTGTGATTTCAGTCGATAGTATCCTAAGCTTATGTCTAACCCATCTCTATTGCTTTCAACAGGTTTCTGTTTGAAATGTTCTTTTTCGCTGATTCTTTCAGACGGGAAATGTGGTCTTCGGTATCATGTGAAGGTAAAGTTTTAGAAATAACCTCAGCAGGCTGTTGGAAGCCCTGACTTCGCATAATGGTTGATCTCCCAGGAGGTGTTTTTTATGCTGAGTGAAGCAGAGTTTTCGCCTTGAAGTAAACCACATATTGCTTAATTATTCAAGAGACATGGGATTTTGCATACATTTGTTGTAAAGTGTGTCTGCGGTGCAACGGCAGATTGCAAGTTAACGAAGTAAGCGGTTCAAGTTTAGATTCCTAATGGTCTCACTTCTAAACCTCACTTGGCTGGTGGTGAGAACGATAATCACAAAAGCTTGAAGGTGGGGCTAACAGTCCTCACTCTGTAAAACATGAACACAAATGCTACTGAAACTTCAAAGCCCTAAAAGGGGAAGCTTTTTATCCACTCAGAATGATAAAAGAAATAAAATAATAAAGTAAGAACTTCTGATGTATCAGAACAGTACGAGAACACTTCATCTACCTTCAGTCAAGATTTTCACGTAGATTACAGAGTAGTAAATGCACGTTTGATATCCTCAACTTTGCGGCCAGCTGTAGTAATAATTATGCTGCCAAGATAATTGAAAGAGGTAATTTTCATCAAATTCGTACTTTTAATAGTGACTGATGCTTTCCATTGCTTGTTGTCTGGTATCTCCATTTCCTTCTTATTTAAGATTTGAATTCTTACCTTAAATACATCTCCCACCAAAATTTCGATCTTAACCTGCTGAATGTTGTGCGTCTTCATATGCATAAGTCGTCTGCACATTTCGGATAATCTAGAGGCTTCTTGTTAGTTCAGTATATAATCGACCTTTCAATATCCACCTCAAAACAATCAGAAATCTCATCAGTAATGATGACGAGTCGCCATTTACTTCTATCTACAAGTCAAACGCTTCACTGGACATAAAGATATGAATTATTTCACGTGTGTCACAAACATTTATCCGTTGATTGAAGTTATTGAAGCCGAGTGAATATAGCTATCGAGACATTTCAAATGAAATTGCTGGTAGTGGTAAGCAAAGAGTTGTTGTTCTCTGCGTTCGATTCGATTCCCTTGGCAAATCCCTCCGAAGTTTCACTGTTGAGGCCTTCATGTGCAATGTTACAAACCATAAGGCTAGTCACTTTCACGGTCTCGAAAGTCTTGATGCTCTCAAATGTCTGAATTATGTTAAACGCTGCCAAAGTGTGCTGTATCTGCCTTTCTCCTTAAGAGATGTGTTAATACCATTCGTTTAATCTTACAAATACTGTCAACACCTCCTCTTCAAGTGAAGTTGTTCTTGGTGCATGTAAAGATATTAAAGTAATCTTTGTAGCCAAATTATCTGCTGGTGTGAATGTTAGTTTCAGGTGTATTGTGGTTATTTCCTATTTTTTCACATTCATGGAAAAATTACTTCAACAATACTTTCAACTATCATTGGTAGGTTTCCATGACGTCAAACAATTTCCTTAACAGCAGATCGAATCGTATTATATGCTGCTAATGTCTTATCTCAAAATATTGTTTCCACCCCAGTGAAATGAGACAAATTTGTTAGCTATACCTTCTCTTTTCATCCGTCTTTGGTCTAACGCACTACGAAAATATGTCGTGACAAGCACCTACTTGACGCCTAATGTCTTCCTCAAGGTGCTTTATTAATCGCGACACGCAAAACAGTCATGTATCCGATGAAAATGTTCAAAGAAATTAGAACAAATGAAAATACTTTACCAAACATTTATTGGAATGTGTGAGAAATGAATAAAGTCAGTTAGAATAATCACCAAAACCAATCAAACGACCATCTCGGCGCCACAGAGTTATTTCTCTCACCGACGAACATAGTCCGTCCACCGACATGTTTGTCGTCAACATCTGTGAAGTAGAGAGAAATACAATACGTGATCAGAATCAGGTGGCATTGTGAAATGCGCTGGAGTCGATAAAGTCATGCACTGTGTAGACTCGTAATTCCACGCTCGATAAGTCAATAACTCTGAGAATGAGAAACAAACATTTGAGGTTGCTCCTGAATATTGCGACAGCGCATTGTCACCGCCATGTTGCTGAGCTTACAGAGTTGAGCATCTGACACATGCATTTCATGTCATAGGCGACACGATACGACATGTCGCGTGTTTCCATGATCAGCATCAACATCTGTGATAATCACTGCACAGCTATATACACAAGCACAAATACACACAAACATCGATATACACATGCTTCTGCTATAGCGCGAATCACCGGATACGACACTGTAGTATGTCAGATGAAGTAACCAGTTTGTGAAATGTATTCATATCTCACCTTGACCAGAAGAATGACGAAGTTCAGCGTCTTTCGACAGATGGTTCCAGTGTACAGATGCACTGTCAACGACTGAGAACACAAGTGCTGTTAGAAGTATATGGCCGATCTGGAAGGTGCAAACATCAAAATTTTCTGACACTTACCATCCTTATCAAAACTGAATTGGGTATGTGTAGAGACAATACGGCACAGTTAAACAGCATGCATTTATACCTCTGAAGAAGATAGTGAAGCGAAAATCCGATCAGGTCAGGTAGTTCAACCAATGGAATTAGTTTCAATTAACCTATTAAAGTGGAGCTAACTTATATGTGTTTGTACGATCGCGTGTTCATGTGGATGTGAGTATTAAATTTAATTGGTTGAGGTGTGAACGTGAGAAAGCAAACCTCAAATTTATCTGGATAGTACCGTGAGAAAAATTGTTCCTCAGTTTGAATAACCTACATTCAATCAAGCTTACTCCCATCGTTAAACACACTTGTCAAGAAACTTAGCCCTAAGTTCCTATTGTAACGTAGACGCCTTCAACCGATAAAGACTATGTATTTGTTTCAACTTTAAATCCAAAACACCAGTATTCCTTGAACGAATATTTGTTGTTTGGCAATTAAAGCAAGACAAAATACGAAATTTTTATTCGTGATCTTTCCGCCTTTCTCCAACTTGCACGCAATCGAACCATTCGCGCCTTTGAGTTGCCCACCAATGGCTGCCAGTTCCAATAAACAAACGTTTAATGTTCACGCACATTGACACTCTCCGGCAATAAAGGGTCTTTAAATGAAAAAGCAAGACAAAAAAGCCCAACACACAACAAGCATACCACATCACAACGAAACGCTCTCCTCGGCGCGTGGGATCTACGCTCTCTGTTGACAGTACCACCACTGATCTGGTTTACGAAGTATTGGTTGCTTCATAGCACTCTGGCACAATCCTCTCCCCAGGGTAACCAATCGCGTACACTGATTCTAACACCACTCGATTCGTCCACAAGTTTAGAAGCGACTTCAGAAGTACTTACGAAAACATTGCAAGATGATTCACACAATGCGACAACTATAATATTAACCGACAATCAGATGAATCGGAACGCACTGAATTACTCAACACAAACATATGTACAACCAATACATCAAATATTACGGATTCTGCCTTGACGAGCTACCCTTGAAGAACTGTAGGACTTACAGCAGTACGCCTACATTCCTTCTCAGGTTGACGATCCGAGTGGAAGACGTCCGGACACAACCAAAATTAACGAAAAGATAGATGAGAGATTTTACCAATTTAGTATATACAACATGAAGATATGTACATAATAGTACACCAAGTACGATGGACTTCTCTTCAACGTACTACCCTTGAAGAATTGTAGGACTTACAGCAGTACGCCTACAACGCTTCTCGGGTTTACGCCCTTAAGTTGGAAAATCGTCGTTGAGTTCATTTGCTGACCTCCTTCCATCATCTATATCCTCATCTCTGAGTGGTAACACACCCGTGACATTGTATCGTGAAATGTAGATGACTAACAAAGATACGACTTATCTGACCAACCAAGCGAAGGAACAGAGTAGTTTGCACCAAAGATAATAACATTCAAATAGTGGTTTGAAACCTGAAATGCCTTTATTCGTGCAAGTCAGTCTAACAGTTAACACCTTGTACACAGTTGGCTTATTGTCACTAAACTGTTCATTGACTTTCGTCCCCTCCAACGGACCGACACTAGCATAATCATTCCATAAGACACGTTGGTTCATGGACGGCTCTTTCATTGCATATGACAACACCAACGACGACTGGCTGACACCAGTTGATGAACTTAGCGGTGTATCAGAAGCTGTTGTTGTTAGACCTTTAGGAGGTTGTCTAACCACAGGATTACCACCACTGCTATCTTTCATTATTGGCTCCAGTTCAGCTTTAACATCTGTCGATAGTTGGGCTACACTCGGATGATTTACACTGACGGTCTCACTAGTATCCATACCTTCTGCAACCGCATCTGCCTTTAATTCTACTTCACTTTCAAGTTGTACAGAACTTTTGTTCAACTCAGTAGTAGTAGGCATTCCGCTAATCTCATCATGATCAGCCACAGACAAATGTGAACTATCATGACCATTGTCAAAAATACCTACTTTACCGCCATCTGTATGATCGACTTCATCATTTTCACACTCTTTAATAACAGCCGTAGATGACTTAGGTTCTTCCTCATGAACCCTTAAAGGTTTTATTCCTTTACTTAGACTAGTAATACCTTGTAAACTTGTAGAGTCAGAACTGGACACTGAAACTGTAACCCTCTTCTTATGCACACACTGCAGTGTCGTCTGAGACACTCTTTTCAACAATGAATTACCAGTTACGACTACAGGCTTCTTCACCGCACCATTATCGATACACGATTCGGAGTCAGAACACGATGACGCTGACTTCACATTTAGCTTACCACTAAACTTGCTCATTGCTTCACAGTTCGCCTTTGTATGCACTTCTTGCAAACGGACGAAGCACAACCGTGTTTGTCTTGCAGCTTGTAACTTATCCGTTGGGGACGTCCCACTAAAGCTGTCCTTATCATTAGGTTTACTAGACGCCATACAGCTTTCTCGATATCCACTACGCTGAGACCCCTTCGTCATAAATGATTCCATTTTGCTCTCTGATTCCTCTACTCCAGGGGTGGGATGCAGCATACTAGCAAACTTCCTCAAAGCTTGGTTGACACTGTCTTTCACCAGGTTCACAATGTCATCCAACCCAGGCTCGAAACCTTCCTCATCTAGACGTGAACAAACCTTTATGAACTTCCTTTGTAGACGAACAGGTAATCTCTTGGTAACAGTTTCAAGCACGGAACTTGAGTTAAATTCATCTACGCAGTTAAAAGACATGAGTGTATTTCTATAAACCATCAAATTATCCAAGAACTCTGCAAGTTCCTCTGGATTATCGTTTAACCGTGATCCATTAACTTTCACTGTCTCGAAAATACTACGGGATATCATAAATGGTTTTCCAAACATTTGACGTAGTATCTTCATTGCCTCAGTATATCCTTCGTTCAGGGGCATAAACTTACAGCACTGTATGGCTCCTGCAGCTACACCAGTGAAATATCTCAACAAATACATTAACTTCATTTCATCATTTAATACAAAACCACTCAGCATGACCTCAAATTCTGTGATAGACTGCGGGTAGTCGGCTGGGTTTCCTCAATGATGGGTAAAAATTATCGTCAAATATGAGTAGCTCAGAAACAGATGTAAACCACCAATTACACTAACCAGCTGTCATTCTCTGACATCATTTGTAAACAAGGTCTAGCCATATTAGATGACCTGCATACACATATTCAGTGCATGAATGTTCTTAATGTGCAAAACAACGTGTAAAATACGTCATGGTTCTGTAGTTTGACTGTCGAATAATCGTCTCGTTAATGGCTGGTAAGGAAACCATCATATCTGGCTAACTGAAGCGACTTGACGTTGGAAGACAGATATTTACTGCTACTTCAAAATGTCTCACCAAGTTGAAACACATCCGAATCACAATGTTTTTTGTGACAAAATTGAATCGACGAAGTTATTTTGAGACTTCAGGCACTCAGATTAATTATTCGACATAAACTCATCTCTCAGACATAACGCATAAACACTGAATGGCAATCTAAGCGATGATTCCGGTCACTAAAACATTGAACTATCGAGTATATCAACTGTTCATGCATTGTTCATGGCAAATAATGGCATAGAAAACGTTTAGATCATTATGCAAGGTTATTCATAAAAATGGAGCTGAAAGGCTCCAGCTTATTTAAACTCAGATTTCTCGAATAATTGTTGAGACGTGATGCTAAGTGAATATTGGTGGTATAATTCTCCTGGCAAAACAAATTTTAGGCCTAAAAGGTGAGAAAAATTATTGTCTGCATTCGTGCAAAATATTTGAAATTACAAATAACTGGACGTTGCGGTTGACTTAAGTAAGATATGCTTCAAAGTTTCCCTCTAAATTAAACATTTATAAACGACAATCCTCGCATGCCTAATGAATGAAAGTCAGAAAGTGAAAGTCGTGCTGGACGAACATCGATTTCGATTCAGTTCACCTAGATCTACAACTGACATTCACATATATACAAACAAATGTTAAGATCGGTCAGTCAGCAAATGCCTTCGTATGGTCATGTTAATCATCAACAACCCTGAGGAGAATCAGGTTACTATCTTGAATGACACCTAGGTCAGTGAATGTCGAGGTCAGTGTGTTTGACACACAGATGTGCAATAAGACCAATAACCAGTGTGGTATCATGGATATTTGAGAAAAGTTCTGTTATGAAGCATCAGTTCAAAAAAATCTGATTTCACTTTGCTTGGTTCTCCATAAGTTTAATCCTAAGAAGAGGTTTCTATTTGTCAACTAAAATAGCTTGGCGACTGTAACTATCTCTTTTGGACTGTGCACACGAAGTCAAATTCATGGTATATATTTTGAAAAAAAATCTCAGAAATAATCCGAAAACCCTGAGAAAATAATTTACAGTTCCACAATACGTATGATCAGTCGACATGTGTTGAAACCGAGTGTAAGACAGACAGTCTGCTTATTCAACTCATAGATTCCTCAAGGTTAGATTACTCGGTTGAGAGTTTTGTAGACATGATTTTTACCATAACCCCTGTCCTATTCATTTAGCTGCTTATGTAGTTTCATGATATTCACGTTTCATGCAGTTGTTTGGATGCCAATGATTTCTTTGTCTTCCCATCAAATTTTGTTCTTGTCACCCTCGGGGTCTGTATACTTTACCTCACTGATACCATTAGTGTCTTTATTGAGTAAGGCAGATTCTACTGTGTGGTCTGTATGTTTATTTGCAGGTATGAATCCTCCGTCATTATCGTATTTTCATATTTGTAAAAACATAAACGGATCTGACTTCGCCCTTGAAATCTCGGATTACCTAGTGTCTACATAATTCTTGTACCGCCTGACTCACATGATAAACTCAATTATGTGCATCACATTTCTCTGACTTTGTGATTACTATTGATTCTTTGCACTCAACTATCCTGAATCTCATTCCGCCGAGTGACAGAACACGCATGTTGAATTTATT